TTCACATCTAACCTGATTAACTCAGGTCCATTTGCCAGGTTGTCAAGATTCATTTGGGCTGGTGTGAAAGGTGTAAATCAGATCCTGATCCAAACAACCACACTGACATCTCTTGAAAAGGTGTGTCATGGTGAGCTTCTAAGTGGACTCTAGTGTGGTACATTTGCAATGTTACAGCAAACAAACAATCCACAGGATTTTATGTGATTTAAATATGATTCCAAAAGCTACACTTATAAGGTAGTTAATAAATCAAATTTGTCTTCACTATTCGACCACACAAACCTGACCCAACTGATACTTTGGACTTACTGCTGCTGAGTTCGTATAAGCGAGAGAGTGAAGGAAGAGAAGATGGAAGGTGGGCTATTGCATGCAGCGTTTCTGTGAGTTATTAATAACACACATGGAATGCAGCAGGGTGGGCCGCATCTCTTGATGCAGAGCAAACGCTTCACTGTAGTTGTCAGCTGTGGATGATTTTCTGCAATTCATCTCACCTGTTCCTTTTCCTTATTGGACAGCTAATTTAACCCTATGGGCCTGAACGACACAAAGTGCGTCCAATTTCACACCTGTTCTTCTCTATGAATTTTCTCCGCAAATGTTTGTCAAAGCAAGAAACCACTCATATCACATGAAACAGTGGAACCACAGCTTTCCAACAGGACTGCTTGTTGGTAGTCCAATGTCTTCACAAAGAAAAAAAAAATTATAAAGTTACACTAAAATTATGTATAACAGAGCTTTCATACAGCTTTACACACACACCACTCTTGGATGGATTACTTGCCAATGCTTGGTCGCGCAGAAATGCCACATATCACATGAAAGCGCAGGACCAGAGCTTTCTGATGATAGCAAACACATCATTGTGCTGTCATCCAATCACGCTATAAATACAGATCAATTGTCAACAAAATAAAAACATGACGAATTTCTTTACAATCCATTATACAGATGTTGTTATCAGTTACTTTATATAGTGAGGAATATCGTATCTTACCACGTCGTAGGCTTAGGTCATGTTTGGGACAGGTCAGTTCAGGTCAGAGCAAAGAGCAGCACGGAGCGCGGAGAAGTAAGTCAAGATCATGTTGAAAAGAAAACGTCCAGAATGTTTTTTTTACTGCAAACGAAGTGGCAAATATTATCTTGGAGGACATCATTGCACTTGATTTACCATTTGTCTATTATCTTAGATGTAAATATTGCATGTTTCTTTCAAATAAAACACATTTTTGACTTGTGAATGAATCAATGGAATTTCTTACCCTGGAAATCCAGAGTTCTCGCGAGAGCACAATTTGAATTTGGTCAGTGAGTCACTCTGGCAATCAGTAATGATGGTCATTACCCATGCCGTTGGAACCGAGCTGCACCAATCACATCGGTGTATCTGATATAGGCGGGCCAGAGGCGAGCTAAACAGATGACGACAGCGCTGCAACGAGGAAGTCCAGAATCAGTCAGTTAACATTGCAAGATGGCTACGGATGAACACCAGTTGTTTGAAATGGCTTTGGCCGCTACAATGACCGAGTTAGAGTTGGCTTTTTCTCTAAAAGAGGAACAGAATACGGCGCTCAAATCTTCCCTTTGCAAGAAGGATGTTTTTGCTGTTTTTCCAACCGGATACGGCAAGAGTCTAATCTACCAGTTAGCTCCGCTGTTAGCCAAGCTCTGGATACGTCACCCCGTGTATTGTTCTGATTGGTCGTAGCATTATCCAATTGCATGCAGTGATATTTACAAATGCATGCTTGGTGCTGCCCCTTGAGTTGGGCCATTTGCATTACTCATAGCCAGACCCTAAATCTTTCTAGATTTGGGTCTGGAATTCCAGGCTAGGAATTTCTTGCAATAATGAAACAATACTGGCAATTATGTCTGCCTGGCACAAACCACATGATTTGGACAACTGTGAAGTGACAAAATGTCCCACCATCATGGTTTTTGATGGCAAATCTGGATAGCCCAGATTGTCCTGCAAAAACCAAGATACAGCATGTGTATGTAGCCTTTATAATGACTGTGATATGAGCTTAAAAGTAAAGGCAGTAAAAATAACCCAAAAAAGGCCTAGGTAAAACGGTAAAAGGTAAACTTGTTGGCTAACAGTTGCTTATTTACACATCCAGTAATTACTGGACAACATCATCATTTATTTGGATTCATGCTTGTGGTCACCTGGCTGACTGGAAGTCCAGTGTCCCCTCTCTTAGTTCTGTTTTTGGTCTCTGATGACTGAGGGAAAGCGATTGAAGGTTACAAAGTTGTATACCTCGTTCTATTAGCACAGGCGGGGTTCTCTTCTGGACTCTTTGGGTAACACTACTCCAATCACAATCCCAACTTCACACACTGAGATCTGAATAAACGTAGCTTGCCAATCAGGACGTCCCTACTTGAATATGTGCAGACCCCACAGTATATAAGTGGGCAGCCTGCCACCATCAGACATCATACACCCTCTGCAGCCAGAGGCATAGGAGTGACAGGGCCCCTAGGTAGAGGGTTCTGCTTTCAGTCAGTAGAACTAAGGCTACAATATTGTAACCCTCATTCTGTCTCACACAGGCTCTGCCCTCTACTGGACTCTTTGGTGGCAGTGCATGGAGCGCGATGAAAGAACGCCCTGTTGCAACATAATATCAAACCAGCCACACTGATCCTTACTGGCGAGTGGTTTGTCGCCATAGCCCACCAATTTTTTTATAACCTAGGCTGCTACAGCGGAGAAGTAGGGGGCCCCAGCCATCCCAGGTAGTAAGCAAGTGAACTTGGTGGAGTTGGTCTACCTTGCAGGCCAGGGGTTGAAAGATAAGCAACAGACATCCGCACACCACTTTTCCTAGGTCACCAAAGAGCATGGAAACATGTTGGTGTATCATGCTCAGAGAGGAGTCAGGTGCAACACTGCAAAACTTACACTCAACCCTTTTCATCAGACCTGTGTCGTTTCAGCAAGCACAGACCTTGAAAAGTAACTCTATGTGTCCAGGAGATAGAACCGTATAAACAGGCAGGGTATAGACCATGCCGCTGCCACACATATGTCCTCGACATTTACCACGTACCATCAAGATTGCCAACACTGCCACACCATGTGTTGAGCATAATTGCAGTGTGAGGGTCCCTGCGTGCTTTCCTATAGACTTTGGAGATGGACTCACAAGGTCATCTCACAAGGTCTTTCTTGGATAGGGCATTACTGGCGGCACCATCATCAAAGCACACAAATGGCTGTTCAGTGCATCTGATGGGGGCCGTGCATTCGACATAAAATGCCAACGCACAGACTGGGCATAGCATTTGCATCACCACGCATTGACTTGTCACCACCTGCAAGAACCGCTTCACGAGAGGGTAGGCAAAGACCGAACCAGCAGTCATGAAAGTCTGTTCTAGCGATGAGGCCAGAACACGACAAGCTCTGATGAGGTTGTAGAAGTGCCAGCTCCATTGGTGAAGGAAGCTGCTCAGTGTGCAAATCATTGTTGCTATAGAGAACAGGACTTTTGACAGCAGCGAGCCACCTCCTTATATACTGTGTTGTCCGCACGGACTCAGGTAAGCATGTCCTAATTGGTCGGCTATGTTTATTTCAATCTCAGTTTGTGAACACATTCTCATGGTTGGAGGAATAGTATTACCCAAAGAGTCCAGTAGAAGGCAGAGCCTGTATGAGACAGAGCTGGCTGTGCAGCTGCAAGTTGCTAACTGTGTTTGTCTGCCATTTTTGTTGAGCAGGTGGTACCAGACATGGGCCAAATAAATCCAAAAAGTCCCCAACAACTACATGTATTACCCACTATTAATTGCTATTACCAGTTAACATCCTCACTTGAAATGAACAGGCTTGGGGTTGAATGCCAAATATGAATGAATGAATGAATGAATGAATGAATGAATGAATGAATGAATGAATGCCTTTATTGTCATTACACATAGTGCAACATATAAAACCATTTAAAAACACACACAAATCATAGATCTACTAAAAACTACTAAGTGGGGAAGTAATGACAGAATGACTTTTGCCTTGTTGGTTTTGGTTGATTTGTTGTCAATATGAAAAATAAAGAACAATATCAGTGTGTTGTAACCGCAAGGAAGTTAAAAACACACCCCCTTGTGGTGCATTTCAGTAGTGCAGGCTGTAGATTTTGTACTTCCTGTGAAATCCACAAAAGACAGGAAGTGATGTTTTAGTTCTAGCATGACCGTATTGTTTCCATGAAGCCTGTTCAATCCACTGCTATCCCTTTGTGTACCTTCCTTTTAATGGCACCATCTGTAAGCACTGATGTTTGTTTTGGCTAATTGTAGTATGTCTGTTGCTGCATGCTATCTTTGTACCAGGAAACAAATAATTTGTTTATCCGTAAATCACCTCAAATCTAAGTGAATTTGTGTTTGTATTTTCAGTTTCACACTTTTCCATATAAAAGCCTTCCAACTACAACACTGGCCTGTTCCTTGGAGGTATTAATATGGTTAAGAGTTTAGCTGACTGTTGATCTCAACATGGGCTTACTGAGGAGGAAAACAGCACAATCAGCCTTATCCTTTAGCTACTCTTCCTGGGGTTCACACATTAATTTAGAAACATTTTCTTTCCCTACAACAATCATTGTTGCTAATACATATATATTTATGTATGTTTATCTGTGTATGTGTGTGTATATGCTTCCAATAGTTGCAGCAATGGAGAATCCTGTTAGTAGATTTCATAAATGCGATAAGTTCATTGGATTGAAATAGTTTTTTTTTTTCCGATTCCTACATGTAGTAGACTCAAGGGATCAGACTCTGACTTAGGTTGACTTAAACACAGAGGAGGACTGCAAAACAGTTTGTCAGTTCTTCATCATTAGAAGGATAGCGGGAGAGAAGAGCTCAAGTGTGTCCTCATCACAGAGCTCAGCGCTGATGTGCAGTTCGGTTCTCAATAGTAGACATGTTTCAGATAGTGTGAGTTTGACAGAAATATTACAATGAACTCTTTTAACTCAGCTCTTGGAAAAAACATCAGCTTTGTGAGACCTGCATACTTCATAATAAGGGGATTTATTGGTATACCTAATATCAATTATTACTATGTCTTTCTCTTTTTTGTTTATGTTGTTGCAGTGCTGGGAAACACACTTGTGATGGTCGTCATATACTTGGATCATAATCTGAGAACTCCAAAATATGTTGCAGTTTTTAATTTAGCATTTTCTGACCTGTTTATTAGCTCTTCTTTGTTGCCAAAGTTTCTTGACATCTTTCTGTTTAACCATCTCTACATCCCCTACAATGACTGCTTGACGTTCCTTTTTTTCTGCTACACTAGTCTTTCAATGCAGGCTTTTAATCTGGTTGCACTGTCCTATGACAGACTGATAGCTATCATTTACCCACTACACTATCAAGTGAAGGTGACCAACAGGTTCATGCTGTCTTTGATTGCCTCTTTCTGGGTCTTTGTCACAATTGCAGTACTCATTTCAGCTGGCCTTCTTACAAGACTTTCCATCTGTAAGTCTGTGGTTATTAACAGCTATTTCTGTGACCATGGTCAGATATATCAGCTTGCGTGCAATGATTATTTCCCCAGCTATGTTATTGGTATGATGTTGGTATGTCTTATTCTTTGGTTTCCATTAATATTCATCTTGTTTAGTTATTCATGTATTGCCTACGCATTGTCTAAAGTGGCCACAGTTCAGGAAAGACTCAAGGCCTTTAAAACCTGCACAGCTCATCTTTCACTGGTGGCAATCTATTTTCTCCCAGTGTTAATCACACTTACTATAGGTACCAAAATACATCCAAATGCCAGGATCATTAACCTGTCTCTGACCTCCGTCTTTCCCCCAATGTTGAACCCAATCATTTATGTTCTGCAGACACAAGAAATAAAAGATTCTGTGAAGAAATTATTAAAAATCAGAAAGAAACCCTGGATTACAGTGAAAAGATAACCATAAAATGATCATTTGCATATATTTTGGGTTATTATGTACATTAAAGTACAACTTGTGAGAGTAAAATCAATCAAGCAATAGCCATTGTAAAGACTAGATCAATTTTTTAACCTCCACAATTTCAACAAGAAAATTTAACTTGAATTGATTCCACAAAAATGACATTATAATCATAGATTTCAATTAAAATAACTATGTTAAAGGTAGCACCATACATTAATAACTATAGCCTACTGTATGGCACGTGTACCACATACCTACAAGAAGAATAGTTTTCTGTTTGAGTGAGTGCATATTAGATTTTTTTTTTTTTCATTTTGATCTTTTGGTACAAAATGTGAAACATAAAGAGGCTGACTTATTATTATTAAAATACAATAGTATTATTATTATTATTAAAGATTTATTGCAAGCAAATTTTGTGATGTTTTTCTGCTTCTTTAAGGTTGTGAACATCTCATATTTCAAAAGGAACAAGACCAGTCTTGTTATCTGGCCTCCTTGTCTTTCCTTAATGAATCTACTGTGCCTTCTAACTCAACACTGCTTTACATTCAACCTCTCTGGCCATTCAGGGACATACCAATATTTTTTGAAAAACTTTATTGTGAAGCAGGCACAGCAGGCATGGATTCTGTGGAGATGAATCCTTGACTGGCAAGATGAACAGTAAAGATTTGCCCATATGTTATGTCATGTTTTTTCAGAGATGTTATCATCAAGGATTAAGATCTGGTTCAGGTTACTTAAACCAACTATGAGGCTCTGTGTGTTTTTCAGATGTAATTGCAGCATGCTTTGATGCATATTATTATGATTGTCCAGGTGGCTGTTACACCTCATTTCCACTCATGTATGTGACTGGTGTCTGTAGATCAGTGAATACAGGGATGATGCCTCTAGTGTCCAACGCAAGGACATGCATTTCTTTACGGATAGATAGAATCCGGATACAAACCACCTGTAGCCTTGGGAGAGAGGCTAATTTTGTCCGTTTTTCGCCATCCAGTAGTTTGGAATATGCACTTGGAACATTACCTGGACAAAAACAGGACCAATATTGCATGGCAACAAATAAATGAATCCGATGGTCTTTCCAGGTATGCGGCATGTTTTGTGAAATATTTAGTTAAAAAGATCACAGGCACGTCAGATATCACGGAGAATGACGCCTTGTTTCCACTTACATATATGTAGGGAGACAAGGCAACTGGAAGTCCATTCATTCATACCTTAGCCTTTGTTCTGATGGGTCTGTAAGTCAGCACCAGTAATTTAAAATAAATGAGGAACGTAATGGGAAAGCCAAGCAGCTGCATTGTCATGCCTCCACTGATAGCTGTTGGCCAGAAGCATTATGTTTCTGGGTTGTCCGTGTACCCATCCTTGGTCTGTCAGTCCACCTCCCATTCATGGAATGCTAATGGACCATGGAATATCGCACAAATGTCTTAAGGGAAATTCTTCAAATTTAATACTAATGTCCACTTGGACCTAAAAAATGATGTGATTACATTTCGGTGGTCATAGATGAAAGGTCAAGGTCGCTGTGACCTTGTCTGTCAACTTCTTGTGAACGCAATATCTCAAAAACAACTCGAGGGAATTTAACATTTGGCACAAATGTTGACTTGGATTCAACAATGATTACAAGGGACCTTGTATTTGTCTCATTCTTGTTCACGTTATCTCAAGAACATTTTAAAGGAATTTCTCCAAATTTGGCACAAACGTCCACTTTGAATAGCAGATGAACTGATTAGAAATTGGTGGTCAAAGGTAAGGGTGACTTGCATGAGTCTCATTCTCATGAATATAATATCTCAAGAAGGCCTTATGGGAGTTTCCTCAAATTTGAAACACATGGACTTAAGAATGAACTGATTAGAATTTGAAGGCGGAAGGTCAGAGGTCAAGGTTACTGTGAGAGTGTGATTAGGATATGATGGTCGGAGGTCAAAGGTCAAGGTCACTGTGACCTCATTAAACATGTTTTTGGCCATTATTCAAGAATTCATATGCTATTTATATCACAATTTCACACAAATAGGATAAAATGTTTTTATTTTATATCCAAAAGGTCAAAGATCAACTTCACTTTGACATCACAATGTTCTACAAAAACACTTTTCTAGCTATTATTTAACGCCATAATCCAGGAACAGAAGGGGAGACATTTGGTCAGATGTTGAATTGGTGACACTAATCTTTATTGTCCACCTTGAAACTGTACTAATTGCATAGATCTTCTGTGCTGCCAGGTTGAAGATGTGTCTGAAACCATCCGCATTTTAGAACTTGTAGTTTCTTTGAAGCAACATCAATGTTTGAAGCATTGTCAATTGTCATGGCTACACATGAGTCTGGATGTAAACCATAACTGCAACATGACTAGTTTGCAGAGACATGCAACTACAAGGCGGTATTTCTAGTCAACAGTCTGTAGACAGTCCAAAGAAATTCGATTTAAACACGTAAAAAAAGCGTCACAATAAACAGGAAGAAATAAAAGCATTAATAATCATCTCCATCTCAGCTTTGACAGTTATTCATTTAGCAGTGTTTTCTAAATGGGAAAAACATGAGCACATAAGCTGACTGATATGGTGATGAAATTACGCGGACGAGTCAAGGATGTCACCTAAATTTCAAAGGTTTTACTGTGTAGGGGAAATACCTCTGAGAATATTTGCACTTGTAATAAATTTTGGGGCTCCACCCTCCTAATGAGGGAAGCGACTAATCAAATTAATAACTCTGTAAATCACTTATTAATTCGACAGCATGCTTATCAATAATGAATCAATCTCAATATCTGGGTTTTGAATTCTCTATACAGTTATCTCAGCTCTTGTTGAAAAGATATATACACAGACAATGTCTTGGCAATACATGAAGATTTATTTAAGCTAAATAGGTAACAACTGAATAAATGAATGATGATGAAATGATGATTCAAAGGCGAAGCTCCTCTTGAGGCCCCGGACTGTCGCTTTGCAGCTCTCGGTCTTTCCAGCAGAATGGAACAGCTGTCTCACAGCAGAGTGGGAGCGGTTGAATTTGCAATGTCCTGCGGGTGCCCCAATGGGTTGGTTCACACTGCAGAAGGCCCTTGGGCTTGGCACGAGGACCACTGTGGCAAGTGGCTGGCAGCCGCTGGTTCCAATGAATCTGGAGCGAAGAGGTTGGTCGGCAGGTGCTGGTCTACTTTGTTCTGGTTACTCGCTTATAATAATGGTGAAAACAATATCGTTGGCCGTTCGATATTGTTGTCAAAGTTATTATTACACGCAAAAATGTTGAAAACACTGTGTATAAAAGAGAACGGGATCGACAAAATTTAAAAGTTCAAAACAACTTTGATCGTGAGCACAAAAGAGTTAAAGGGCCAGTGTGTAATATTTGGCATGGTTTATTGTCAATCTGAATCTGAATCTGAATATTCTACCCATTAATATGTTTATACAAGCGTATGATCACTATAAAATAAAATTCGTTTGGTTTTTGTAGCCTTATAATTATGCTTTTATATATATATATAGCAAGGGCCTTGCTTTAGAGAGGTCGCCATCTTGCGCCGCCATGTATGTAAGGCAGCCTGAGCGGACAATCCAGCCAGCCAGAGAACGCGTTTTGCGTGTA